ATAGTGTACTGGGGGGGGGGTACTGAATACAGTTGACTAATCGCGTCTGGAGAAGGTGAGCAGTTTCAGTCTGGAGGTTTTGCAAACTTACTCTGCCCACTTTAGTGTTGCTCTTTGATTTAAGGCTTCTTACTGCACAACTCATGACTGAAAGAACAAAACCCCCAAAACAAACAAAAAGTCTCACTTGAAAAACATTCAACACTGTGTAACTCTATTCCTCTTTCCAACAGGAAATGGCACCTCCCTCCTTAAATGAAGATACTGGCTAAAACACATTATGCAGTTAAAGTGTGACAGTAAAGAAATGACTTGACTTTGAAGCAATAAATTTACCAAACATTCCTGTTGTTTAGTCACTCAGTAGCGTCCGACTCTGTGATCCCATGGACTGCCGCCCAAGCCCAGCAGGCTTCTCTGTCCATGGGATTTCCCAGCAAGAGTACTGGAGTGTTTCACCAAGCATTCCTATTGAGATGTTATTCCAAGGGGAAAAATATAAAAGAAACTTTAAGCTTTTTCAGTATGTTTATTGACAGTAATATTGACAGTGTTATTTCTGAACTATATTAGTATAAAGCACATATGTAATCCTTGGAACCAAGATTTTCAGTATTGGGGAAAGGAAATACAAATATAAAAATCAAAGAAATTAAGTATAAAAAAACTGCAATCCCATATTTGAATTTAGAAACATCAGTATGAATTACTAAATTTGAAATTAGAAATAACGGCATGAACTCATGGTACATTTCATTTCCGTTAAAAAGAAAAAAAGCCTGTCTACTGAAAAGGCCTAGAATAATGATTAACCCAATGGACACCCCTATTGTCCACTCATCTCTAAATGTAATTTCCCACTAAAAGTAACCTAGGTTCCTCTTGTAACTCAAGGGCTAAATCTACAAGGCAAGAAATGTACAAGAAAATTTAGGGTATTTTGGTTGTACCAGAAAGTAAAGATCAAAGGAGTTGTGTCAAAAAAATTTGAGCCAATTTAAAGGTGTTCCCCATAGAGAGAAGACAATTTTAGCATTTAAAAGTAACAGCAAATGAGACAAATCTACCAGTTTAAAAATTAATGAGTGTGTTGATTTTTTTTTAATGGTATTGGTCACCTTTGGAGGATGCCAATAAATCATCACATTTTGAAAACTAATAAAAGAATCAAACATCCTGCCTTTTCTGTTACAAACTGAATCTCAAATAGTTGATGTGAGAAAGTTCTTCTTTATGGACTTTCAGGTAACAAATGCAGAGAAAAAGATTATTATCATTTTGGAAACACTTCCCTGGTAACTCAAAATGGTAAAGAATCTGCCTGCAATGCAGGAGACCTGGGTTCAATGCCTGGATCAGGAAGATCCCCTGGAGATGGGAATGGCAACCCACTGAATGCAAATATAGGATCTGATTTGACCATACCTATTAAAAGTCATTCGAGACTATCTCAGAAATTTTAAATACTAACTTTATGATATTATGACATTATTTTTAAAGATGGGATTTAGGTGATGTTTTTCAGAAGCTAAAATCTTTTAAAGATACATACTTAAATATATATGGATGTAAAGATACAATATACCAGAAAGAAAGAACATGCTTCAAAAAAGAAACAGTCCCACATTGATGGGGGTCATGAGAAACACTGGGCTGAATGAAGCACAAGCTGGAATCAAGATTGCCAGGAGAAGTATCAATAACCTTAGATATGCAGATGACACAACCCTTATGGCAGAAAGTGAAGAACTGAAGAGACTCTTGATGAAAGTGAAAGAGGAGAGTGAAAAAGTTGGCTTAAAACTCAACATTCAGAAAACTAAGATCATGGCATCCAGTCCCATCACTTCATGGCAAATAGATGGGGAAACAGTGAGAGACTTTATTTTGGGGGGCTCCCAAATCACTGCACATGGTGACTGCAGCCATGAAATTAAAAGATGCTTGCTCCTTGGAAGGAAAGCTATGATCAACCTAGACAGCATATTAAAAAGCAGAGACATTTCTTGGCCAACAAAGGTCTGTCTAGTAAAAGCTATGGTTTTTCCAGTAGTCATGTATGCAGGTGAGAGTTGGACTATAAAGCAAGCTGAGACCAAAGAATTGATGCTTTTGAATTGGGGTGTTGGAGAAGACTCTTGAGAGTCCCTTGGACTGCAAGGAGATCCAACCAGTCTATCCTAAAGAAAATCAACCCTGAATATTCATTGGAAGGACTGATGCTGAAGCTGAAACTCCAATACTTTGACCACCTGATGTGAAGAACCGACTCACTAAAAAAGACCCTGATGCTAGGAAAGATGAAGGCGGGAGGAGAAGGGGACAACAGGATGAGATGGTTGGATGGCATCACTGACTCGATGGACATGAGTTTGAGTAGGCTCTGTGAGTTGGTGATGGACAGGGAAGCCTGGCGTGCTACAGTCCATGGAATCACAAAGAGTGGGACACGACTGAGTGACTGAACTGACTGATGATTGAATATATTAGTAAGTTGAAGAGGAGAGACAAATCTCCCATGCAAAAATATTTCAAATGATTTCTGTAGGTACTCTACTTTTAAGGAAGGGGAGCATAATTCCCTTTGTTTAGGTGTAGACTGCACAAAATGACTTCTGCCAAAGTGTTCAGGACATAAAGGAAGGGAAAAAAGAATAACTTTATAGTAGAGAAACCTGACAAATACTAGCTAGGTGATCACAAAAAATAGCAACTGTCATGTTCAAAGAATGCTTGATGTGATGCTATAGAAATAATACTTTACCTCTGTAGTCATTCTAATAACTACCCTCTTATTATGAGAAAACATCAGACAAATTCCATCAATGGGCCATCCTACAAAAATGTCTCACCAATACCCCTGGAGGCCATGAAGACCATCAAAACCAGGGACTGAAAAACTGCTTGAGGAGACAAGACAACTAAATGATATATGTTATCCTGAATGGGGCCCAGGCTGTGAAAAAGGACAATAGGTAAAAACTTAAACATTTTCAATAAACCATAGACTTTAATAGTGCATGAATATTGGATCCTTGTGCTTAGTTGCCTTGAACTCTTTGCAACCCCATGGACTGTAGCTGGCCAGGCTACTTACTCTGTCCATGGGGTTCTCCAGCAGAATACTGGGATGGGTTGTCACTTTCCTTCTCCAGGGGATCTTCCCAACCCAGGGATGGAACCCAGGTCTCCCACATTGCAGGCAGTTTCTTTACCCTCTGAGCTGCCAGGGAAGTCCTACAGGATCCTTAATTGTAACAAATGTATTCTACTAGTATGTTAATAATAGGGGAAACAATGTAGCTTATGTGGGAATTTTCCATATTCTTCTGAATCCACTTATGCTTCTAAAACTGTTTTAAAAATAAAGATCTATTAAAAAGATATAGATTTAAGGGACTAGATCTGATAGAGTGCCTGATGAACCATGGATGGAGGTTCGTGACATTGTACAGGAGACAGGAATCAAGACCATCCCCAAGAAAAAGAAATGCAAAAAAGCAACATGGCTGTCTGAGGAGGCTTTACAAATAGCTGTGAAAAGAAGGGAAGTGAAAAGTAAAGGAGAAAAGGAAAGATATACCCATTTGAATGCAGAGTTCCAAAGAATATCAAGGAGGGATAAGAAAACCTTCCTCAGTGATCAGTGCAAAGCAATAGAGGAAA